TCCAGGCTGGCCTCGAACTCACAGAGATCCGCCTGGCTCTGCCTCCCGAGTGCTGGGATGAAAGGCGTGCGCCACCACCGCCCGGCTGATTGGTGATTATTATGGGAAGGTCCAGCCCACTGTGGGCAATGCCACCCCTGGGCAGGTGGTTCTGGATGTATACTAAAACAAACTGAGCAATCCAGGCAGAGCAAGCCAGCAAGCAGCACTCCCCCATGGTCTGTTCATCAGCTCCCACCACCAAGTGCCTGCCCTGTTTGACTTCCTCCCCTGACTTCCCTCAGTGACAGACTGTGCTGTGGGACTGTAAGCTGAAACGAGCCCATTCCTCCCCGAGCTGATTTTGGTTTTACCCTAACTAAAGCGGCACCCACCCTACACTGCCTCCCTCCAACTCCGCCTTGTGCACCCCCAATCCTATTGGAACTTCATGCCCTCTTCTTTTTCTTGGCTGTTGTTTATAAGTTTTACTCCGAAGAAAGGAAAGGACAGTTTGTGTGGTAACAAGGAGGAGTCCTCACCCCAGGATGTCCTCTGGATAGCCCAGGCCCTTTGATGATCAGCCAGATGGCAAACTGGTCAGAGGAGGAGGGGCTGTAAAGAAGCCAAGTTAATGAATGTGTGTAGTCTCCTTGATGACGGCCATTATGTTATTAGGACAGGATAATGCTTGTGCAAATTGCTAGGTCTGAAGAGGAATTCATAATATGTCCAGAGAACAATGTCTTGCATTTTAGAACATGTTTCTAAGAAGACAGGTGCAGAGGGATAATGTCCTTCTCTCCAGAGATTGGTGGTGTGTGCCACATCAGCCTCAGAAGAAGGGAGAGCCACAGGAATGGGCTTTGGGAGCACTGCCTCTTAGGATCCCTGGAGTTTTCCTTCCCTTTAGCTCACCGGTGTGGGGGTGAGGAGTAAGATTTGACCTGACTTGAAAAGGAGTGTCTGTCATTACCTCTTTCTCCGTCAGCAATACAGTCCTAATGTGGGGCTACTTCAGTGTGGATGTCAATAACTAATCAATGGAAGATGACAGATAAGAAACAGTCACAGAGATGGGAGATGGAGGGACTTTGTGCTTTGCTGTTCTCTCTCTCTCTCTCTCTCTCTCTCTCTCTCTCTCTCTCTCTCTCACACACACACACACACACACACACACACACACACACACACACACACACATTCTGCCTTCTAGGTGTACAGAGGAAATGCCACCAGTTCTTTTGGGTGATGCAGAGATAAAGCTCACAGGGAGAGGGATGGAAGTTTATTATTTAATGGCTTCGAGGCTGGGGCTGGAACAAATGTCCTGGGTCTTATAAGAGTCCAGCCATTGCCCTGGGCTCAGCATAAAAGAGGCTGACACATTAAACTATAGCTCATGGGTGAAGACATTGCAATCTTCCTTAAGATGAGACATTAGCTAGGCTGTGAAGAGAAAGGAGGACCAGGCTACTGGGAGAGGAAAAAGAAATGAAGCAAAGAGCAGAAACAGGTGTCTGTGTGCCTGTGTGCATGCCTGTGCACGTGTGTGTCTGTGTGTGCATGTGCACATGCATGTGTGTGTGTTGGTGAAGCAGGGTTAGATACACAGTAAAGAAGCAATGTTTGAAAACAGTTCTGCCTGCCATAATCTGTATGAGGGAGAAGTTGAACACCAGGTGGTGTGACTCCTAGACCTTCTCCTGCCATTATTGTGATTTACAGCAGTTCATTTCCTCCAAATCCGTTTCTGGCCTACCTCTGACTACCACTGAGAAAAATGCAGTTACTAGACGGAATCATGGGAAATTGCCATCATGGTGTGTAGCAGTGCTTCAGATGGCTGGAAATGCTCTTGGTGTTGAAGGAAGCGTCATTGACTTTATGGTTAGCCTACTTGAAACTTCTGTCATTGGACCTTCATCCACGAGCATCCCTTCACTTCTGAGGTTCTACTGTTACCACTGCAAACACATCCCCAAAGACAATCACTTTCAGACACTTTGAGTGGCCCTTGATGCCTGCTCTGCAGATATGCGTGAGTGGCTGGCTCCTAGGACCGGCTTTGCCTTCCAGACCATCTCCACCCATTTCACCCTGCTAAGCTGCTATGATAGCCTCAAAATCATCATCACAGGGGTCACAGTTGAAGAGTGATCCTAATTAGTCTTAACAATAAAAACCTGAGTCAGATATGGAGGGTGAAAGCTGAAAGGTCTGATAAGCAGAGCAGCCACCGGTAACTTCTTACCTCTCCAGATCCTTAGACCCAATTGGGGTGGGGGGGTGCTTTCCTGTCTCTGCAAATCCTCAGACTGAATGGGTGCCAGAGACCCTGTCTCCACCAGCCTTATATTCCTATCTCCACCTCCCTAGTGCTGGGATTAAAGGCGTGAGCCTCCCATGTGCTGGGATCAAAGGCAGGATCCTCCCAATCCAAGTGCTGGGATTAAAGGTGTGAGCCACCACAAACTGGCCTCTATGGTTAACTAGTGGCTAGCTCTACCCTCTGATCTCCAGGCAAGCTTTATTTGTCAGAACACAAAATATCATACAACACTCAGTTCTTCCCTAATTTCAGAAAACAGTTCATAAGTATGGCTCAACAAATACTTAGTATATTGATAAATATTTACTAGGAATACAGTGGTCATTAGAATTTATGTAGGACTGCAGCAAAACCTGTTGAAATTTAATCCTTGTTGTGAGACAGTAAACAGTGAGACGAGGTGGAACCTTTAAGAGGTGATTGGGTCAAAAATGTCTGCCTGTCTGGATGATGCAGTCATTGGTTCATGGATCATCTGTCTGTTACAAACCAGGGCTCCTCTGGTCATGGGATGGCTGTGCCACCTGGGGATTCTTCAGAGGCTCCATCAGCAAGAAGGTTATCACTAGATGCGGCCCCTTAACCTTTGGCCCTGCAGTCTCTAGAACTGTAATGTGAGCAATTTTTTGTTCTGTCTAAATGAGCTGGTTTGTGGGTACTAATGCAGTCTGTTATAACAACGGGAGACAGACTAAGACATGCTGAATGGACAACTTGACTCCAAGTTAGTCTGGGAGTCAGTCCTTCAGCAGCTAGAAACATTTTCGTTGATCAGAAATGTGATTTGTTACTGCTCTGATAGATGGAGTTGTCTGGGTTACTTCACCCCTCCCTACACTCCCTGACCGTGACTCAGTTTTACCTTGGAGCCTGGTTTGGCTGAGCCCCTGATATGTTCTGTCACCCTGCTGTCACCTCCAGCGTGTCCACCTATGGCATGACACATGAGCATGGGAATTGGAGCAGAGTCCTCCTGGGGCAGCCAGGACTGTGCAATAAAGCCTGGCCATTCATACAATCCACAAACTCCAATGTTTATTACTGTCTGCTACTCGGAGTTTGTGCTTGATCATCACGTGTCACCATGGCAATAAACTAACCTTCTGTCCTTTCCCTGACTCAAATCCCCAGACTTTATTTGGGGCAGGAGCACTGATTTTTACAAATGGGGGGGGGGCACATCTCAAATAGACTGTGGCTTTTTACAAAAAAAAAAAAAAAATAGAGATACTCCTTTTCAAAATAGCCCAGGCAAAGCATGAGTGCTGTCTTTGTGGCTTTCACAGTGTCTCAAGAGAGGAAATGGAACACACTGGAGCCATGTCTTCCATAGATGGGGTCTGCTTCTTTGTATTCCAGCTGAATACACCTTGAGTTTACATTTTATACTAGGTGCTAAGTTTAGGCACACATTGATGTGTGTGTCAGGGGGAGACTCTCACTCTGTAGTCCACATTGCCCTGGAATTCTCCACGTCCAGGTTAACCTCAAACTCTCAGCAGTTCTCCTGCCTCACGCTCCCAAGTCCTGGATGGTGGGTTTGAAGCACCATTTTTGGCTTCGCGCCTTTTAAAATTAAAAACAAGGGTCCTTAGCAGTGACAGCTGCTGAAGACAGCACTGGAGTTGGATGATTTACCTTCCAATAGAACAACTACAGAGAAGCTAAACTGCGCAGAGGCACATGGGCAAACGACAGAACTAGAGGAAGTGCGTGTCTAAGGTCAGAGAATGCGACGATGGTGAAGCTAAACTGTGCCCATTTATAAGAAATACAAATGAATATATTTGCAAGGCAGAGGCAGAGACCAGAATGTTGTGGTGGATCAGTGTTGGAAACAAGAGTGTGAGGTCTTGTTCAGCTTAATAGAGATGCGGATGTTTACATGTGGAAATATTTACATATACAGGGGGAGGTGAGAGGGATGCAGTCATTGAACACACATAATTCCTTCCTCCAGCTGACGGGGGTCCTAGAGCTTATGACTCAGTCACATTCTACCTAGACAATCTTGGTGTCCTGCACAATTCTCTAGTAAGAACCGCTGAGCCCTGGGGTAGGAAATGTGCATGATGAAGTCAGGAAGAGCATGAAGCCAGTTGTTAGGCCCAGGAGTGGGGGAAGCAGGACAGCAGCAGCAGGGGCCGAGGAATTTGGTTAATGGGGGGACATAGGAAGCCTGGGGAAGAGCTGATACAATACCAAACTACAGCAACATTGAAGCTGCTGTCACAGAAGCAGCTTTCCCACTTTTATCTAGAGAAGTTAGGTCCCCTTTGTGGAATGACCTGTAACAGCCAGATCTACGTCCACCATCACTGGATGCTTGTAGACACAAATCCAAACGGGTCACGGAGAAGGCAGCTTGAGATACGGCCTCTGAGAAAGTGTGCCACCAACCCAGACAGTTGCACTAAATTGCTCTTTTACGTCTGTAGAAACCTGGGACGGTGCAAAGAGGTGGAAACCATGTGTGTGTCTCGGCCCCCCCCCCCCCGTGTGTGTGTGTGTGTGTGTGTGTGTGTGTGTGTGTGTGTGTGTGTGTATGTGTGTGTATGAGAAAGAGAGAGAGAGAAGAGAGGAGACAGAGAAAGAAACCCTAGCAAACCTGCTGTTTCACATGGGCATGTTAATAACGTGGGAGAATATAAACACCTTCAGAGCACAGTAGCTAGCCGGATAGCTCTACTATACCTGTGGCTGTAGGCCCCCAAGTCTTGAAGTTATTTTCTTAGCCATCACCACTGCTGCAACCAAATGCCTTAGACTGGAAAAGCCAACAACCAGGATTTCTTTCTCATAGTTCTGAGGATTGGCGAGTCCAAGATCAAGAGGCAGGCAGGTCCTGGTCTTTTAGGAACCCTCGTGTTGTTGACACCTCACACATCAGAAGAGGCCAGGGAACTCTCTGGGTCTCTTTTATAAGGTCACAAATCCTACTCATGCTTCCCACACCAACTCCAACCCACATTCTCTGGTTCTATCAAAACCAGACCTGAGGTGGCTTTCTCAACTTCCTGTTCCTTCAGCTCCCAACACTCCTTGGTAACCTGATCTTGCCCAACATAGAAAAGCTGAGACTCGCGGCGGCATTGCAGGCCTCCTAACTATGACTTAGGACACCAGCCACGCCTTTAGCCACACCCTGATCCAGGGTCCAACCCCAAGGAAGCTTTCAGCTTTCCCGAGGGCCTTCTCCACTGCCTGGCCTAAAAGCCCCAGCCTGATTGGCTGTCGTTCCCCAAGCAAAGCCTGCACTCGTGTCTCTCATTCCGCTCATGGACCCTGCAGTCATTGGTGGTCTGGGATGAGACCCTCCTGCCGAACCACGTGAGTGGACGAAAGCAAAGATCCATGGCCACCTCCAATAAGGTGGAACTGGCGGAAGCCCTGGCCCTGGGCTCCCCCTGGCGACATCTTTGTTACGTGATGCTGTATGCGCCCAATCCAAAGGGGCTCTTTGGGGGCCGCATCCCACTCCGCTATGCTGTGCTGGTGAGGAATGGTCACTTCTGTCCTAGCTCTTGTGCCCTTCCTAGCAGCCGCCTTTCCATCTCCCAGCTAATTCCCACTCCCTCCTCTCCCAGATGTACATGCGCTTTGATGGGCGACTGGGCTTCCCTGGTGGTTTTGTGGATGATCACAGCCCCAGCCTAGAAGACGGGCTGGCTAAGGAACTGCAGAAGAGGCTGGGTGAGGGTGTGTCCAGTTTCCGCGTGGAACACACTGACTACCGAAGCTCCCTCAGAGATGCCAAATCAAACGTGGTGGCCCACTTCTACGTCAAGTGTCTGACCCTAGAGCAGCTCCAGGATGTGGAAGCCAAGGCACCTCTAGCCAAGGACTATGGGCTGGAGGTGGGGCCAGTCTGAAACCTCTTACCCCACCTCTCTTTTCTGTGGTCCCTTTCCAAGGAAAGGCCCCTTGAGAAGTCTTGGTCTTAAGATCTTGTGTCCTTTCCAGTGTCCAGGACTAGTCCAAACCCTGAACATCTCCAGACTGGATAACAATGCTAGTGTGTTCACCTATGAAAGTTTTACACACACACACACACACACACACACACACACACACACACACACACACACACACACACACACACGACTGGCCTCTGCAGAGATTTTTCTAGAACATACTCACCCAAGTATGATAACTTGGTCAGGCATGACTCTACAATAGTAGTTTGTCTTTGGGCCCAGGAGGGTAGGGGAATGGGTGTATACATGGAAGTGATTCCCCAATTCTGGCAAATATCAAACTCATGGGGAGGAGAGGTGTAGAGAAAGTGACTACTGAATTCACACTGGCAGTTCCCTAGTGAGAAAGCGATTTCTAGACTTTCCTCCCACAACCCAACCCTTCTTAGGAAGGCCTGTGAATATGCGGTTGTCTGGAGTTCCCCAGCGAGGCCTACACAGCTGGAATAGAACTGCTGATGTGCAGGACTGTGCCTGCATCTGCCATGCCTGGACTCAGGCCACAGGAAAGTGCTCTAGGAAGGATTAGCCTGTAGGTGGACACCGAATGTCTTGAGGGCCGTTGCCTGTACAGGGTTAGGCCCCCCGGGGCCTCTCTGAAGTGTGGAGCCTTGGGACTTGTTCTGCAGTGGGATCTGCTCTAGAAAGCTTGCTGTAGTGAGAACCGTGTCTTGTCCCGTTTCCTCCCCTTCACAGGTCTTGGGCCTGGTGCGCGTACCCCTGTATACCTTGCATGACGGTGTGGGAGGCTTGCCTGCCTTCCTAGGGAATTCCTTCATTGGTGCTTCCAGGAATCAGCTACTGGAAACCCTCCAGGACATGGGGATTCTGACCCCTGAGACTGTCTCAATCCTCAAGGAACGAATTTTGCTCCATGGAAGCAGATCTTAGGACTGACTGACTTCTGAGATGGGGACGTCGGGTGGCAGGAGGGCTGGGGAGAGCGTTTTCCAGGCCCGAGAGATGACTGCTAATACCAGAATAAAAGGCAGACATGCTATGCAGTGTGTTTTGAACAGAGGACCTTGCCCTATAGCATTAGCGACAAAAACCCAAAGCCATTTGCAGGGCCTGGCCATTTTGAGTCCCTCCCTATACATGTGAACACAGACCCAGGGAGCCCTAGACATGTGCAGTCTGTGACGACACATGGCCTGGCACACCCCTCCTCATGTCCCCTTTAACCAGGAACCGTAGTCCTCTCCCCTTCTTGCTAAGCAGGGGAGAGTCCTTCCCTTTCCTGTAAGGCCGTCTTCTAGTATCCAGCTCCATGTTCCCTGGAGGAGCAGAGGCAGGGGATTTCTCCTAGAAAATGGCTTCACCTGAGACTCAATCAGACCCACAGGTTCCATAAAGTTCGGGGAGGCCTTAACCAGCTCCAGACCCTCCCTTTCTTCCCCCTCAACTGAACATAAAGCGTCAGAAGGTGAAGATGGCTCCTTGGCCTGACCTTGGTTGGACCTAAGAGCGCTGAGTGTTTTGTCCTCTCTGGAGAGAAAATTCAGAAGGGAATTGACCCAGCCTGTCTTGCCTGCCCTGCCAAAAAGAGCCTTCTAGGAAAAGAAGCTGTGAACGAGGCTTCTGGGCGCTTCAGCTTTCTCTACTGGTGCTTGCGACCTGGTCTAGTAAAAACTCAGACACTCAGCCTTGCTGCTAAAGACTCCACAGTGTGGTCAGCAAACTTTTACTTAAGGGCCAGACGATGACTCCTGAGGCTCTGGGGATCACACATTTCCCCAAATATATTTGTAGCTGACAGGCAGGGTGTTTTAAAAGACAATATATATTTTCGTGTACAGCATGGTTAAAGTTTGTGTGACTGAAGTGTGTCAATGAACACATTTCTTCAATTCTTGGTATAGTCTTGTGTGTATTGTATCTGATGGGCAACCTAGAAATTCCCACCGTAATGGTACTGAGGGATGGTGCATTTTGTCCTAAAGAGGGATTCGTGCAGTTCTCCTGGACCATGAAGGGTTACCACAGCGTGAGTTGGTATAAAGTGAAGACACTTCTAGAAGCATGTGTCTCTTCCTGGCATGATTGCTTGCCCCATTGCTTCCTGGCATGTGCTGATGCAGCAGGAACTACTAACCTGGGGCTGAGCAGAAATGGGGTGCCATTCCTTCTGGACTTCACAATCTCTAGAGCCATGGGCCCAAAACAGACTTCTTTAGGTTACCCTGTATTCTGTATCAACAACAGGAAGTAGACTGAGATGGTCCTGCTTCGTCACGCATGTCACACATAGCCCTAGAACTCGAAAGCGTTTTAGTCATGTTAATCTCTGTTAAAATGCTACTTTAATCATGTACTGTTTTCCTGACATTTTAGAATTGTGTGTGTGTGTGTGTGTGTGTGTGTGTGTGTGTGTGTGTGTGTGTGTGGCGGGGGGGTTGTTGTTTGTTTGTTGATGCTGAGCTTCCTTAAAACAATAGTTTCCTCTGTTCAGCAATTCATAAATCTTCACATCTTTAGGCTTGGTTAGGATGTTTTGTCTTTTTGTTTGGATGGGATGGTGTTTTTCTGGTTCTTGGTCTTTATGGTGATTCAAAGCTGCCAGAGAATATTTGAGGAGACCATGGTGGAAACTTTCAGGCCCCTGATCTGGCCTTGTACATTAACAGTGTAACCTTTTCAAGCTGTTTGAAGCCAGCAAAGACTCAAGGGTAAGTAGACTGAAAGCCATTTGTTGATGGTGGGGTGTGCTGGCTAGTTTTATATCAACTTGACACAAGCTAGAGTCATCAGAGAGAAGGGAGCCTCAACTGAGAAAATGTATCCATAGATCTGGATGGAAGGCATTTTCTTAACCAGTGGTTGATGGGGCAGGGGCCCAGCCTGGGTTTGTGGTCCTGGGTTCTATAAGAAAGGAGGCTGAGAACTGGGTGGTAGTGGCACACACCTTTAATCCCAGCACTCAGGAGGCAGAGCCAGGCAGATCTCTGTGAGTTCGAGGCCAGCCTGGGCTACAGAGTGAGTTCCAGGAAAGGTGCAAAGCTACACAGAGAAACCCTGTCTCGAAAAACCAAAAAAGAAAGAAAGAAAGGAGGCTGAGCAAGCCATGGAAGCAAACCAGTTAAGCAGCACCCCTCCTTGGCCTCTGCATCAGCTCTTGCCTCCAGCTTCCTGTTCTGTTTCATTCAGTTCCTGTTCTGACTTCTGTCCATGATGAACAGCGATATAGAAGTGTAGGCCAAAGAAACCCTTTCCTCCCCAAGTTGGTCATGGTGTTTCATCACAACAATGGAAACCCTCACTAGGACATGGGTAAGTGGTGGGCCAGAGAACTAGCAACGGATCTGTAGCCAGATATGACTAGAGCAAGATCTAGAAGTAGATAAATTCCAATATTTTTAGACATCAGTAACAAAAGGGAAGATTGAGAGGATGCCAGGGTTGCAGCCATCTTAGAGAAGGGTCAGACGGGGCGGGAGGCCCTTGGACAAATTGTTCTAAGAAAAACCCACCGGAGGAGGTGCTGCCCCTTCGCCCCCAGACCCAGACAATTAGGAGCCACACACCAGACATTTCCTTAAAGGATATGATACAACATAACTGGCATAATAAACAAAGCACCAGATATGTCCTGTGGGATGTTTTCTGCTGTTATAGATAGTATACCATAGCTATCAGAGGGAATGGGTTTCCTGCAGATAAAAATGGGAAGTCTAACTACCAGAGGAAATGGGTGTGCTGGCAAAACAGATACACTAACATAGATTGCTAGAGGAGATGGCAATTCCCTTGCAGCTGCAACTCTCCAATAAGTTCGAACCAAGTGTCTCTAACCTGAAGTAAGCACCAATCCTGAGCTTGGAACAGTATGGAGTTGGAATTCCCCCAGATCCCCTACCCTAACCTAAACGCTACTGGATTGCTACTCAGGGTCTCTCCTGCTCTGCTTCTGTGTCAGATGGACAGAGACCCGGGTTAACTCAAAACAATAAAAAGACTCTTTGCTTTTGCATTGGATTTGGTCTCTTGGTGGTCTTTGGGGTACTCTGGGTACAACAAAGATAATGTTAGAAAACTATGCAGGATCCCTTTCATACAGGACTATGGTAATTTGAATGAAAATGCTCCCCATAGACTCATATGTTCAAATGCTTGGTCCCAAGTTAGTGGATCTGTTTGAGAAGGATAAGGAGGTGTGGCCTTATTGGAGAAGGCATGGCCTTTTTAGAGGAGATGTGTCACTGAGGATGAGCATTGAGGTTTCAAAAGGCCAAATCAGCCAGGTTTTCTCTTTTCTCTCTCTCTCTCTCTCTCTCTCTCTCTCTCTCTCTCTCTCTCTCCTCTCTCTCCCCTCTCTCCCCTCTCTCTTGCCTGCAGATCAGGATGTAAAGTTCTCATTACTGCTCAGCACCATGCCTGTCTGCTTCCTACCATGATGATCATGAACTAACCTTCTGAAACGGTAAGCTATCCCCCAGTTAAATGCTTCCTTTACAAAAGTTCCCCTGGTCATGGTGTCTCATCACAGCAATAGAATAGTGACTAAGACAAGGACCACACAGGCCTGGGCAATTTCCTAGCGATGTTTCAAGGAAGTCCTTCCTGGTGATATGTGGATATGGAGGGGCTCAAAGAGCAAGGAGGCAGAGGAAGTTGCCCCCATAGTTCCTATGGGAGAGGGTGGTGACCTGGACCAGGGAGAGGGCAGTGGAAATGGACAAAATTGTATGTATGGAGGGAGGTCGTGGAGCTGGTGTTGGCAGGATCTACTAATCACTGTGGGAAGAGACCAGTGAGTAAGGTAGAGGCTTCTCAGGTTTTGTACTTTTAGGCATTTGTGTTATGTATAGATGAAGACTTCTGGGTAAGTCTCATCAACATTGTTGATATAATTGAGTAGCACTGGCTGGACTATTTATTAGTAACTTTTCTCTTGCAGTGATAAATATCATGACCAAGAGTAACTAGCTTACAGAAGGAGGAATCTATTTGGGCTTCCATAATGTGAGGAAGGCATAGCCACACGCTGCTGGAGCAGGAAGCTGGCTGGTCACATCTTATCACACAGGAAACCAAGGGAATGAACTAGAAAGGGGACAAGGTATAAACTCTCCCAGCCCTCCCTCAGTGACACATGTCCTCCAGCAAGGCCTTACCTTAAAGGTTCCATAACCTACCCAAGCAGCACCACCCACCGGGGGCCCCATGTTGGAGCCTACAGGGACAAATGGAAGCATCCTTATTTCTCTCCCTGTTCTGAAGTTTAAGAACATGGCTCTGATATGTGCTTTGCATCTGGTGGGTACATTCTTACCTGTAAGGATTCTGTCATGTTCCAAAGTGGTACAAAGCATGTCAGGGAGAGACAGAGAAACCATGTCAGGGAGAGTCTTCTCAGAACAACACCACTTGACAAAGAGCTCATTAATCTATTAGTCCATGAGTAGATTAATCTCTCCTGATTTAGGAGGACCTCCGAAAGTCCTGCCTGATCCTCCTCCTCCTCCTCCTCCTCCTCCTCCTCCTCCTCCTACTTCTTCTTCTTCTTCTTCTTCTTCTTCTTCTCTCTCTCTCTCTCTCTCTCTCTCTCTCTCTCTCTCTCTCTCTCTCTCTCTCTCTCTCTTTGGTTTTTATGAGACAGGCTCTCACTATGTAGCCCTGACTGTCCTGAAAGTTGCTATGAACACCAGGCTGGCCTCGAACTCACTGATCTGTCTTCCTCTGCCTCCTAGCTGCTGGGATAAAATGTGAGTGCCACTGTGCCCAGTCTGATCCTACTTCTCAATACCTCACATGAGGATTCCTTTCAACATGAATTTTGTTGAAAGCATTCAAAATTTGACATTGTGATTTGACTGCATAAAAATTGCATAAAACGTTTGTAAAGTTGGCTGAAATTATTTGTGAGGGTTTGTCCACTGACAGTTTGTGTTCTGGAGACTTAACCCTCACTAAGGCAGTTTTGAAATAGCAGGACCCTTAAGAAGTGAAGCTGAGTGGGAATAGTTAGGTTACTGGAAATATGAGGCAGAGAAAAGCAAGTCAGTTCAAAGGTCATGCACAGGAGAGATTATAAGGATGGACGATAGAGTCACCAGTTCCTCGTCACTAATATGGGGACAGAGAGCAGTTAACTTTGTGATGTAGCTTGGCAATTGGAGACTTTGATGACATGGGCAGTTGAGCATGGAGAGGGCATAGTGGAAGGTGGGTTAAAGAGAGGAGTGTTTGGTTATGGAGAACCAGGAAGAAGATCTTAGAGAGTCCAGATCCATGTGAGGACACAGCATGGCTGGCCAAAGCCCAGGGAATTGCTGTAAAGGTGTTAGATTCAGGGATGGGGGGGGGGAGAAGGAAAGTGAGAAGCCAAGTGGATAAGGAGGCCAGAAACTGACCCATGTTGGCGAGGTAATGTGAGCCAGCCAATATACTCAGTGACCAAAAGGAGGTACAAAGCCAGCCTGGCAGCAGAGGGCAAAGTGGCCACACCAAGACATGCCCTCCCAGGGATGGATTCCAGCCGGGACCCAGCTTTTGACCTTTCAGAAGCAGCTCTGGTGCCCATGCCTAGAAGCTTCAATTGCTGTGTCTTCTTTCCCGATCTAACCCAGATCTAAGGGTGACATGTCATCTGGAAACTCTTGGGTGGCTAGTCAAAGGGAAGGTGTGTGTGTGTGTCCATGTGTATCCCTCCAGGACCCCAGCCTGTGCCAAATGCAACTGCATCTAGGTTGATACCACAGGACCTCCATCACTTCTGAGAAGGAGGTAAGGATCCTTGGGCAAGGGACATAAAACTACTAGCTTCCCCCAGCTCAGATTATGGTTCTACATAGAACATTGAATCCAGAGCCCATCCTTGGAGGTTGCCCATGATTTTTTTCCAGCTTCCGTGATGTTCCACTGTGATAGGGTTAAATGTTCTAGTAACGATGCTCCCCAACCTTCTTGGAAGGTTATATTTCCACTTGGGGGGGGGGGCGCTGGTTTTCCAACACAGGGTTTCTCTGTGTAGCTTTGTGCCTTACCTGGAACTCACTCTGTAGCCCAGGCTGGCCTCAAACTTACAGAAATCCACCTGCCTCTGCCTCCTGAGTGCTGGGATTAAAGGCGTGTGCCACTGCCGCCCAGCTTTATTTCCACTTTTTAATTGTGTGACACTGACTTTGTTTCTGAGCTCTCTGGTGCTGGTGAGGGGCCCTGCCCTGTCTAAGAAGCATCCCTCCCAGGCAGTGAGGTCCTTCACCATCAGCCATCACACACTTCCCTGGCCTGGTCCTAGGTACCTGCCTGCCTGGCAGGAGAGAGAGAGGCAGGCTGGACTGTGCATGTCTCCTCTCACCCACTCCCATCCTGCTGGGGGAAGGTCAGCCAGGGTGGAAAGCACACAGGACTCCCTGGGCCCCTTCAAGCACAGTGCTCTGGGGAGGGAAGGAGATGGGAGCCCATCCAACCTCCAGCCCTGCTCCTGGCAGCAAGGGCCTGCAGCTGAGCACTGGGCCTCCTTATCTCAAGCTTGAGGCTGTGATTCCTGGGGAGAGGGTTAATGGAGGGGGCACCTGGCATTAGCTTTGGACACATCAGCCAGCACTGTCAGCACAGGCTGCTGCTGCTCCTTCCTGGGGAGGAGAGAGGCCCTGGTCACCCCCCCTCTCCACAACCCCCCTCCCCACACCCCCGCTCCACGCTAACACACATTGATGACTCTCTCAGCAGAATCAGCAAGAAGTTTCTAGTTTTCAACATTGCACTTTCCCTGTTCGCAGAAGTCACTTTCAGACTTCATTTTGTCCTGAGCCCAAGGCCTTGTCAGTTTCCAGGTTTGAGGCAGAGGAAGCTGCTGTTTCCTGGCAGGACCATGTGGGGAAGGAGGGTAGTCTCCTGCCAGTGAACCTGAGGGCTGAGGGAGGCTATGTGAAACAGACGGCCTAGTGGGAGTGAAGTAGGAAGGGAGGTTTATTGCACAGAAATATTTAAATCCTGCACCCCAAATATTCTGGTGAACAGAGAAGCAAAAGTGGATAGGAACATTTCACCCTTGATAACGTTTGCCAAGAGCATCAGAGTTAAGCTGTCTGGAAGAGATGCTGCGTGTGGCTCATTTCGGAAGAGGAGAAGAAAAAGTGGAGTATTTCGTTGAACACAACTGAGGTAGAGAGGTGTTGGCAGTGCAGGGGAAAGGGGACTGTGCCACACATGGCCTTCAGGCCACAGAATGCCTACTGAAGAGAAACAGCTCTCTCCCAAGGCCCTCCAGGTCCCATCTGCTTGGCTTAATCTGTGTGGCAGTTCCTGTTCCTCAAAGTAGAAGTAGTGGGCTTGGTCTGTCAGAGACCCCATTGGAGGATGAAAACTACCAGCATGCCCCTGCTGGTATGTATGCCTTCCTTCTCTTTCAGACTCAGAAACAGGAAGGAGTGAAGGAGCGCCGGGGACATGAAAGATACAGGGAGGCTCCTCCACCAACCAGTCCCTGGGCTGGAGGAAATCTGCATTCCAGACTCTTCCCCAAAGTCTGGCGTTCACCCTGGTCACTGGAGCAGAACCAGGGCCACCCAGACCCAACCTCAACCCTTCTTCATGGACCACTGGCGAAGAGCTTGTCTTCCCCTCAGTGTGTCAAACTCCACATGGGACTCAGCAAGTATAAGCAGGAGCTATAAATGCAAGCGGGAAGGTCTAGTCGGGAATGCTGTTCCAAGTCTCACATTCTCCTCCCTCTAGGGCTTCTGAAGGCCCCAGCTGATAGATTTACAACATCCCAGGCACCCAGCAAGAGTTGCAGGGTGTGGATGGAGACAAAGGTCTACTGAACAGGAGAGAAAGGGAGCTGAATGATCTCGTGTTTGAGAGACAAGGAGTGCACCCCAATTCCTAGAAACTCACTCCTGTGCAACCGCGCCATTAATTCTTGATCATGCATGTGTACCACTTCCACCCACAAAACGTCCGAGGTGGGGGCATCTGATTAGCGGGTTCATCATCAGTCTCCATTCTGGCCTGGAGGGACAGAGAGGGAATATCTGCTTGCTCTTAGCTTTTATGAGAGACTTGGGCTATTTGTAGCCTCTATAATAGACTTGTACTGGCTAGTTTATGTCAATGTGATAAAAGGCAGAGTCATCTGAGAGGAGGGAACCTGAAACCAGAAACTTCCTAGTAAGACTGGGCCGTAGGCAAGCCTGCAGAGCATTTTCAAATTACTGATTGACGTGGGAGCACCCAGCACATTGTGGGTGGTGCCAACCCTGGCCTGGTGGTTGTGAATTCTATAAGAAAGTCTTAGCAAGACACGAGGAGTGAGCCAGTAAGCAGCACCCCTCCATGGCCTCTGCATCAGCTCCTGCCTTCAAGTTCCCACCCAATTGGAGTTCCTGCCTTGGTTTCCCTCAGGGCCTGTGATTCAGGATATGTAAGCCAAATAAACCATTCCTCCCCAAGTTGTCTTTGGTCATGGTGTTTCATCATATCAACAGAAACCATAACGAAGATAGAAACTGGTACCAGAACTGAGGAACATGGTGAGTCCAATGGATTCCATGACTGTGGGTTCCCTGCTGCACTTCTCTGGCTGTGAAGTAAGTTCCTTGGTCAGAAGCAATGCTGTGTGGAATACCATGATTGTGGATAAGGCATTCTGTAAGTCCGTGGATGGTACTTTTGGCAGAATCATTACATGCAGGAAAGGCGAGTCCATAACCAGAATAAGTACCTATTCCAGTAAGGACAAAGTACTGTACTTTCTATGAAGGAAGTGGCCCAGTGCAGCGAACCTGCTACCAGGTCGGTGGCTGGTCATCCTGGAGAATGGTGCCATATCTGGGGCTCGGTGTTGGCCTCTGCTATTGGCATAGCTGGCACTCAGAAGCAGCTGCAGCCAGGTCAGCCCTGGCAAGTGGAAGTCCCATCTCTGCCACCATGGCCAAACTGGAAACAATTACAGTGTCCCTCCAGGGGCGAGGGCTAGTTCAGCGGCAATGCTTGCCTTGCCAAGCACAAGGGCCTGAGTGCCATTCCTAAAAGTCAGGTGAAAAAGCCAGGCATGGTGGCACATACCTATCATCCCAGCCTTGGGGAGATGGAGACAGGTGAGTCCTGGGGGCTACCTGGCAAGTCTTACACCAATGAGAGACTCTGTCTCCAAAGAAAAATGGGCAGTGATTAAAGAATAACACCCAAGAATGTTCTCTGACTTCTTCCCACCAAGACACACACAAATGTGCATGCATATCCACACACGTGTACCCTTATGTGTATACACACACACACACACACACACACACACACACACACACACACACACTATAGGCCCTTCTAGCTCTCTCTGGCAGCACCCCCTTATCCCCTCATATTTTGTCTTGTTTTTTTTTTTAAATCTGTAGTTTGCAACACTGGCTTTTCATTAAATCACATGGGGACAATCCAGTGAGGACTGTGTGAGTTGGTCTGACATGTGAAGGCAGGTGGCAGGCGTCGGCCATCTTTGGCCACCTTCATCTTCTAGACTTGGTCTTGATGCCTTATGAGGCCAGACTGGAGCCTCATTCCCCTCCTGTTCCTTGACCAGGAGGGAGCCTGTCTGCTAAAGGGTTTTGTGAAATGCAAACACTTCATTCAAATGTAAATTATAACCTTTACCTTCAACTTCAGGAGAAGCCAAAGATTTTTCTACTTTTAACTTTTTACTATAGGAAACATCAAACTATAAAAAAAAAAGAAAGAAAAGAACATAATAAGCCCTTAATGGTCCCCAGAAATCCAGCTTCTAAAATTGTATTCATACCCTCAGCCTCTGTCTCCTGGAGGATTATTTTTAGTGTGTGGTTCATACATATTTCAGTATGTAGCTGTAAAAGGCAAGGAATTCTTAAAAATGTAACCACATTACTCTCCTACCTCAAATAATAGTTATTCCTATACATCAAGTACCTGATCCCCATTTATAGATACAGAATGAAATGTTTTTGTAATGAATGAGCAAAAGCAACATTCTCACATTTTAGCAATCAGGCCTTGACCTTTTGGAATCTGACCCCTAGTGACCCATGATGCCTCACACAGATCTGTGGAGCCCAACCCCTCCTAACTCAGGAAACTTTGCACAAGTGGTAGCTCTCAAGAGAACTAATATTGTAAACCTTGATACTCAACGAGATAAATGGGAGCTCCATCTGCCCACTGGGATATGGTTCCAGGCTGGAGGCTGTCCTGTAACACCCACTACCGAAACTTCTGAGCCAAATTGGGAGGAAGCTTCATTAAGTACAGGCCAGGATCATACCTAGGATTCCCAGAGTATGATGGTGAATTACACTAGTCAGGGGCTTATAAAGGCAAAAACCACAAGGCTATATGTACTTCCCACCTTTGTCTGATCAGGGGCAAGCAAACATCTTGATGTACCTCCTGCCTACCTGGGACCAAGCATACTTCCTGTGCAGTTAGAACAACCAAGCTTGTTTACAGAAGTAAAATTGCAGGGCTTGTTATCTTACATGAACAGCCCCCAGCATTCCAGGAAGTTACCTGTCCTCGGGCAAGAGGGCCTTTCAGGTATATCTGTCCTTGGGCAAGAGGGCCTTACAGGTGTATCTGTCCTTGGGCAAGTGGGCCTTACAGGTTAGAGACATTTTTAAGCAGATCTCTTAAGCACAGTAACTTAAACTTAAAACCTAACTTTAGCAATCACAGAGGCCATGAGGACAAGGCAGAGTAACCCCCTCCCCAAACACACCCTCTCAACTGTTATTTAAAAAAAAAACAAAAACAAAAAAACTCTCACTCCCTCTCAGCAGCAGGGTTCCCCTCTGGGCATTCACCTGCTGCTTTTTTACTGTGTATTTCAATAAATTCTCACTTTGTCTGTTGGTGTCTTGGTGAATTCTTTTACCACCCATGTCACCAACCTTCCATGTGACATTTCTCACAGTAGTGTTCACAAGGTTCTCTATTATTATTTTTTGTTCAGTTTCGAACCCAAACATGGTCCAAGTCCAGTTGCTTTGTTAAACTCAACTGCTCAGGACCAGGGAGTGTCTTGATAAAAGGGCCTAGAAATTCTTTGATAGCACACAGAAGCAAAACACTAGAGACTTCCCAGTCTCCAGAAGGAGGAAAATCAATTTTAGTTGTTCAGTTGTTGAGGAGGAAGTTACTTGGCCTTATCCTCATGGGCCTCCTGCCAAGATTCCCTGAGTCACTGTGGGCAGAGGGACCTCTCCTTGTCTTGTTGAGTAACAAGTTGCATTAGTTGGTTTTTCTTGAGCCCAGTGATTTGTACAATGTTCTCTGAGTTGTTTGGGGTTAGGCTCCAGATATATGTGTGAGGCCTAGGTCATTGGGGGTCAGGCTCCTAATGATCACAGGTTGATTGTTAAAACTGGAAATGTTAATTTTGTTCCTATAAATAAGGATTGGATGCATGATATATAGAAGTTAGCCATAAAAAAAGACCAGGTCCTGGAATAGGTTCTCAGAACTTCCAATAGCAGGGTTACCAGGTAAGAGGTGGCAATGTAAACTAGAATTAGAACCCAGCATTTTTAAATTAATGCTGGTAAAAGAAAGTTCTGCTTGCATTGAGACGTCACTGAGAGAGGCAGGATCCTGTGACACTAGGAATGCTTAGGGACAGCAGCTTCTCTAGGCAGGGTACTTGCTGCTCCTTGGTTGGTTGGGGTGTCAGCAGACAGTTATGGCGCTTGCATGGCCATCATCCTGGGGCTTAAGTCAAGGATTTCAACATAAGTTTAGGGATAAAGAGTCTATTTGCTTGTGGGCCCAAGGCTGTAAGTTGTCTGGCTTCTTTCATCTCTGCCCCCTCCATCCTCAGGCCTTGTTACTAAGTTTAGGGCATCTCATCATTTCTCCCTTACTGGCTTCAACTGATACGTCTCCTCAATCTCTTTCATGTTAAGAGATCTGCCTCTGTGTCTGACTCTTCCTTGTATTCAATTATGGCAGAAACTAGGTCAATTGTCCTGTCAACTTCCCTTGACCAGTCTTCTACATGTGCCTTCCTGGCTTTTCAAAAGTAAACTTAATTTTAGGCAATTTATATTCACAGAAAAACTGGGAGACTAGTACAGGACATTCTCATATATGCCATTCAGTTTTCCTATTAATATATTAATTTAGTATAGTATAGGTCTTAAAATAATGAGCCAGTTTTAAAGCATTACTATTCACCAAGGTTTTATTCAGATTCCCTTGTCTGCTCTCTAATGTCTTCATCTTTGCTCCGGGATTTCAGATTTCATTTGAGTCACATCTTCTGAGGCTCTTCTTTATTCCATAGGCAGTGGAAATTTCCATTTTTATTTTATGACTGCTATAGGTTGAATATTTATGCTCTCTACATCTCCCCTTTAGTTCCCATGCTGAAATTCTAACACTGTGTTGGTGTTTGAGGGTGGAGGCCTATGGGAGGGGACTAGGCCTTAGGAGTGGAGCCTTCATGAGTAGCATTATTGGCCTTACAGGAGACCCAGGGAGCTCTCCCAACCTTTGGAGGTTTCAGCTACAAGTTGGTCTATGAATAAAGAACTGGGACCTCACTAGATGCCAATTCTGCCAGCCCCTTCATCTCAGACTTCCATGTCTCCAGAATTGTGAGAAATAAATTTTAGTTGTCTGTAAGCCCTGCAGTCTAGGCCATCTGATCCAGCAACTCCAAAGAACTGAGATGAAGCCTTGACAGTTTTGAGGTTTGCCGCCATCTCCATTATGACATCCCTCTGCAGAGACTGGCTTGGTGCTGTCCTCACAATTCAGAGCAGAATTCTCTCTCTTGGGGAGGAAGGCCTCAGACCAAAGATCCATTTTCATCACATCACATCAGTTACCCTGTGTCTGTAAGCCACCCATGCTGATGCTGATCCTGGTTGCCAGGCTACCGTTTGTCACCTTCTCCCCAAAGCTACCAAGTGGCTCTGTGGCTTCCTTCTGTTTGTACTGTTTGCTCTTGGGAAGGAAGTCACTATTTGGCTAATAGCTTCAGAAATCATCTCTAATTCTTCCACATGGAGGATTCTTTGCCTACATGGAGCAGTTAATTCCACATGCATCTGTATTCCATATCAGTACAGGTATACAGATATTTATTTTCTACTTTACAATATAAATAGTTTTGTTTATACAAAATAAATATTGTTTGTATAAATAAAAATACAAACAAACCAAAAGTAAAACTGCTTTAACTTGTTGCTCATATTGTTTCTGCTCTGAAAACTCTTTCCGTAGTGGCCTGTGACTTTCTTTCTCTTATAAGACAATATAAGAGATGTTTTGGAGGTGGTCCTTTGTAGTTAGTATAGATTGGACCAAGATTCACACTTAATTTTATAGCAGTGTTGTTCAAATGCTAAATGGTCTTATTAATAAAAATCCCTGTGCCAAATATTGGGGTAAAAGCTGAAAGATCAGAGAAGCAGAGCAAGTT